CCACAGCATATTTTATGAAGTACATTCCCCCTTCCTAGACTCTTAGTATCTCTCCCTCCAGTCTGCTTGGCATTTTCTGCCTCCTCTCACATAACATTTCTTTTAGTGATTGCTAAAAATCACACCAGTTAAAAATAAATAAATACTGAGCATCCACACAGACAGTGGGTTGTCTACATGCCTGTTCCATGAACAGAATCACAAATGAAGCTAAGAGTATGGAAAATACCACACAGTGGCTGGTCAGCTGAGTATTTCCATAGTTTCCATTGACTGAATTGACTAGATAGCCCTTGACAATGATCACAGAATCACAGAATGGTTTGGATTGGAAGGGACCTTAAAGACCATCCAGTTCCAACCCCCCTGCCATGGGCAGGGACACCTTCCACTAGACCAGGTTGCTCAAAGCCTCATCCAGCCTGGCCTTGAACACTTCCAGGGATTCGGCATCCACAGCTTCTCTGGGCAACGTGTTCCAGTGCCTCACCATCCTTCCCAGGGAAAATTTTTTCCTGATATCTAGGTCACTTAGCTCCATTACTTAGAACATATAGAAACAGCTAAACTTAGAAGCCAACTGAATCCCAACAATAGACAGTCAATGTACTCTCACAAAAGGGAGAGGAATCTTCCAGCTGCTGTTCATAGTTAAACCAGTTCAGAATTTTCTTACTGGTGAAGACCACCTCCTTTCCACTGATATATGCTCAGCCCATTGCTTGCTGCCCCGCTCCGGCAACTACATTTAGTGAACGGTCCCCAAAAATGCTACTATACAAAAACAATGCAAGTTTGAGTAAACCTTTCCTCGTAGCCCAGAAGGAGTTCTCAAGCAGCATATTAGCTATCTCTTCCTTTAGAGGCAAAATGCAGCATACTGTGTTAAAATAAGGGGAATTATTACTTTATGTGCAGCTTCAGATACCACTGATAAGCTGTGTTTGAACAGTTTTACCTAAAGAAGAGCAGCAAGCAGTGTACAGCTTGCAGGAAGTGAACACAGTATTTTACAACTGCAAGAATTGGTATGTGTTCTTATGGGCTATTTTTGCATTGTTTTTTATAGCTGCAACAAAATAGTCATTCAAATGATAGACAGCATCTGAAAACTGTTGAAATGTCTTAATCAAATGCTAGTCTCACAGATAACATCACTCTGATCTAACTTATGGGAAGATGTGACATATTTGACCCTACAGATATAGATGCAATTACACGATACGTATGTTTGTATGTTTGTCTATATACAAAAATGTGTAAAAGAATCTTTTATTCTTTGATTATAACTTCAAATAACAAACACCCAAAGAAATACAAATTTCTGATACACAAGTTGGAAGCACTTCAACTGAAAAAAAAAATGCTTAAAATATGACCTTTTTTGTACTGAGAAGCGTATAATAAAAAACAGACAAATTTGAAACAGAATAGAAATGAAGCTCTCATAAATAAAACAATTATTTGCTGCAAACAGAGGAATGCAGCACCACAGTCAGCAGTAGTGTGCTGAAGTCTGAAATTACTGAAAGCAACCCTAAAAAAACGTGAAGGTACCATTTTAAAGAACTGCTCTATCTGCTGATATTAGTTTCAAACCAGTAAAGTATTTTGGTTTTATCTGAAATCTCTCAGGGTAATTAGCTACAGAAAGCCAGATGAGCGACCCAGGATGCAAATCCATACTTTCTCAGGCACTCACCTTTGGTAAAATCTTTAGGATCCAAGGATAAACTGTAGCCAGGGAGAGTTTCCAAAAGCAGTTTATAGCAGGCCCTCCAGCCGGGTTCTGGGATGCTGGGTGCAGCGCACTGCATTGCTGCAATACGCTTGAAAAAAGCAGACTTTCGGTGAAAACCAATACGTTCATACAGCTCAGAAAGAATGCTGTAACGCTGGATTTTTTCTTCTTCTGAAAGCTGAAATTTAAAGGGAAAAGAGAAAAGGTTTGCTTTTAAATCAATAAAACTTTAAAACATACATCTGAGTAACAAAGAAATGTAGTAGCCATATCTCCAACACTACAAAAGGGCCAGTGATTTTCCATATATCCAATCATGACAGCTGCTACTACCAGGAAAACTGAAGTTCAACAGCTAAGAGCAGCAAAGATAGATTTCTTTTACTTGTAAGTTCTGCTGACAAAGTTAACAGTCAAAACAGTCAATAACAGCTAACCACATTTTGTGGAAGACATTTAGCAAGATCTTGATGTGCATAAGAACACAAAAATACACCAATTCCAATATCTATTGATTTCCCAAATTGAACGTTTGCACCCCATTGAGAATAAACCTAATTATTAATCTTGAAATCTCAAGCTATGAAAGCAAGGAAACTACTGTCTCAATTTTTATGTGTCTGATCCTGTAAACCACAAAATATTTATTCCATGATATTATACATATACAGACTGTCAACTGTTGAGGAAGAATTTAGTGAAGACCATTAAGCCTGAAGTTGAAACAAACTTGATAAGGAAGATGGACCAGTGCTGACACCTAGTGCACAATACCTGGCATACACAACCAAAAGCAATCTGTTTTAAATTACCCTAAAGCTGCTAACACGTTTTGCAAAGGCGTTTAAAATGACAAACTTCATACCAAAATAGCACTAAATTCCTGCACTCATTCTTCAAAACTGAAAGTATAAATCAGTGGATCTGGGTGTGTAACTTCTAGACTGCGTTGCTAGCTAGACTGGTTAATTTTTACTGAAATAATTAGGTCTTATAAATGAAGATTCAAAACACCTTTTAGTCACTTAAATCCTAATATAATTACAAAAACTTGATCTATTTTCAAAAGTCACTTCTATTTCTGGACAGAAGTATATGAGAGACCTCAAAGAAGCCTAGAGTTTTCAAAAGGCACCATGACCTTATCTGAGAGTTCAAATCTTAGAAGTTCAAGAGATGAAGAGGCAGAGACAGGTAGACTAGCAAATCATTTCCGAAAGTTTCAGACTGGTTTTGAAGTTGCTATTTCCCTCAGAACACAAGAGGATGCCCAATGGAAAAATACTGCCCATCCACATAAAAGGGCAATCCCTGTAACCGGAGTTGTAAAAAGGCAATTGCACCGAGCTGAAAAACTTCCATGAATCGATGCAGCTGGAAGGGACACAAGGCACAACAAGAAAATATAGAACCATTTTAAACCAGTCTGAGAATGACCAAAAGCCATCATCCAGAAAGAACATGAGATGTCAGATTAAGGTTACCTTCTCTAGCAGAGAAAAAAGCTGCTCCACCTTCACACACACCCCCTGGCCTTTTTTTCCATTTATGTCATCTTTTAAAAGCTAGCACAATAAAAAAATATGACAGCAGAGTTGAAAAGGGCTTGAGCACATGATTATGCACTAAAGTTAGAAAAGCTTAAAAAAAAAACCACTACCAAAAGCTATTCCTCAAATACAAAATACTGTCAATATTCACACACCTATGGAAGCTGAATTTTTAAGATAAAACAGTCATGCTATTTCAGTAGCCAGGAGCACTCTAACAAAGTTAAAGTTGCCTCAGAGAGGCAACAGATTCTCAGAAACTTTTATTTCTATCATATCTGAGCAAGTTTTTAACACTGCTGCTTAACGACTAAGTTATTCAAATATTTTCTGCAGTTGCAAGAAACTGTTTTTTCTTCACTGCAAAAACAGCAAAATTGCATTTTCCCTCCACACAAATAGTTATGTGTTACCACCCAGGGTGAACAACACAACCCAAAAAGAAAAAAACCCAACACAGATGCTCCAAGTAATCAATTCTGGGAGACTGCAGCAGGCATTCTGCAAGCCATTAGTGTAGCATTCACAAACATTTTTCCTGACCTTACAAATTTAGGAAAGCTTAAGGCCTATCAAGTGGCTGTAAAATAGCCCCCACCTGAAGCACAGCATCTTCTCCATCTCATTAATATTCATTAAACTGTTAAAACAAACCAAGTTAGCAGTGCACCTGTAAACACTGCAATTCACTATCCAGGCAACTAAGACAGGTTTTTTTTACAGACTTATTTTAAGATCAGTTTCCAAGAGGATAGCTTTCTATTTGTTTTTAATTGTTCCTTACTACATTAAAATTCTATAAACTCACTTGCTTTATAATTAGACATTACAATTTATTCTTCGTAACTGGATGCAAAGATAAGTCTTATTTCCCTGCAGCTCTCCTATAATCAAAACACACCGATTACATATTGTTACTAGACTGGATAATAGATTGAATATATGGAAATAATCTAGTTTTCCTGCTTAGCAGAGGCATACACTTTGTCCTGTGAGGTGTTTTTTTCTGCTGTCAAATACTGGCTATGCTGATGTTCTATCTACCTACAAGAGAAAAACACCATCCTACAGTATCTCTAACATATCACAGGTCGACTCCTCCTTTGAGTTAGTCCATATTATAACTGTATCTGCTTCCATGCTATATACATTAGATCTTATGGATGGGAATGATATTTATAGCTCTACAACCCTCTTTATGGGAGATCATTCCCCAACAATGGAAATATCATCTTACTCATATTTCTCATAACAATGCTTTCTGTAAAGACTTCCACCCAAGACCATGACAAAATAGTAGACGTGCAGTTACAAGCCAGATCAGTGTCATCCTTGATTGAAATCACCAAAGGTAAAGTAATGGTTCACAGCTCAGTGGGTAGGCTCCAGTGCCCAAATAACCAATACTGTCAAGGTATTGGGTTGTGGGTATTTTTTTAAAGCAATGATATACTGAACTTCTCCAATGGCATAATTGTTATAGCAGGTATAGCTGACACCAGGAAACTAACAAGTGATCATTAGGTATATGGGGTACAGCAGAAGGTTCAGTGGAAAAGACCCATGCTGAACTATTAATTTGATTTTTAAAAACATTTAAAATAATTAAAAAATCAGTTAGTACCAGTATCACTTGAGAAGAAAAATGATCATTCTCGTTAGTATCCACTTGAACACATCTTTTCTTCCAGAACCACCTACCAAGTACCATCATCATCTAGACTGACCTCCCACACTGTGCAAACAGTCACACACTCAGTGATAAAGAACCACCACAGAGCAGCCCAGGTTGCAAGGGACCTTGAAAGACCGGCTGGTCCAACCTTTCGTGGGAAGGGGAATCTAGACAAGATCATCTAGCACCCCATCCAGTAGCTTCTTGAAACCTCCAGCAGTGTGGACCCCACCATGTCCCTAAGGAGGCTGCTCCAGTGAATGATGGTTCTTACTGAAAAAAAATTCTTGTATTGCAATGAAACGTCTCCCAGTGCAACTTGTACCCACCGCCCTTTGTCTTCTCCACATGGCTCCTTGTAAGGAAGGAGGCTCTGTCCTCTTTGTACCTGCCCTTTAAGTAATGGAATAACGTGATGACATCCTCCTGGAGCGTTCTCTTCTCAAGGAATAAAATGATCTTCAGCCTTTCCTCATGGGGCAGTTTCTCCAGCTCATTGATTATCTCTGTGGCACTCCTTTGGACCCTCTCCCATCTGTCAGTGGACCCTCTCCCATCTGTCAGTCTTTTGTGAACTGTGGGGACCAAAACTGGACACAGTACTCCACCTGCAGCCTGAGAAGTGCCGAGTAGGATGATCACATCCCTGTCTCTCCTAGCAATGCCCCTGCGGATACAGCCCAGGATGCTATTTGTCTCTGTTGCTGCAGCAGTGCTCTGCTGACTCCTCTTCAGCTGGTTGGCCACCAGGACCCCCAGGTCCCCTTCCACTAGGATGTTCCCAAGAACACAAATCCTAGCCCATATTTGGTGCTTTGGTTACGTCGCTCCAGGCGCAAGACCTTGCACTTGTCTTTATGACACTTCATGCAGTTCTTGCTAGCCCACTGTCCAGATCACTAAAACGTCTCTCCCTTCTGATGGGTCCACCTCACCACCCAGATCAGTGTCACCATCAATGCCATCATCCCGATCAGTTTTGGAAATGCTGAACAGCATGGGGCCCAGAATCGATCCCTGGGGGACCCCACTCATGACAGGCTGCCAGCCCAAGTGAAAACCATTGACCACCACCCTACGAGCACAGCCTGTTAGCCAAATTCCTACCCATCTTGTAGACCACCCATCCAGCCTGTATCTTGCCAGTTTGTTCAGGAAAAGGTTGTTGGAAACAGCCTCTAACACTTTGCAGAAGACTGCTAGATGACATCTGCATTAAATCCCTAAATTCTGACTGAGCTACAAAAATACCTAATATACCTAATTTTTATTTCAAGGTTTTCCAGGCAGTGGGAGATGTGGCATTCATAGCACGTATTTTATATGGTGCGACAATGCACACTGAGGAAGGCTTTACATGCACAAGTATTTTTTTGTGGGGTCAATAGCTGATGGCATACATCAAGTTCAAAGTTACTTCAGAGGAAAAAACAAAGCAAAGAGAAAGAAACCAGCCAGCTAGGAAGAAAAGCAATGGGCCCTCCAGAACACCCTTCAATGGTCCCCTCTAACACACAGCTGACAAAAATTACCATGCCTTCTCACCAAACTTTTTCACTAGACAAATTTCATCAAGATTCATTCAAACTCTTGTTGTTTCTACTTGGGACACTACTAGAGCTGTCTGGGGCAAGCTTTGATCAGGACATGTGTTGCACGCTGACTAGCTGCCAAGCTTTGGCAGCTTTGGGCTTGTTCAGCCTGGAGAAGTCTCCAGGGAGACCTTATTGCAGCCTTCCAGTACCTGAAGGGGCTACAAGGAAGCTGAGGGGGACTTTTTACAAGGGTCTGTAGTGACAGGACAAGGGGTAACGGGGTTAAATTGAAAGTGGTGAGGTTTAGGTTAGATATCAGGAAGAAGTTCTTCATGGAGAGGGTGGTGAAGCACTGGAACAGGTTGCCCAGAGATGTTGTGGATGCCCCATCCCTGGATGTCTTCAAGGCCAGGCTGGATGAGGCTTGGAGCAACCTGGTCGAGTGCAAGGTGTCCCTGCCCATGGCAACGGGCTTGGAACTAGACGATCTTTAAGGTCCCTTCCAACCCAAACCATTCTGTGATTCTATGATTATTTGGGCTTACGTGCTATTAGGTAATACTTGTCAGCTATTTAAATTACTTATATGCTTTGCCATTCACCAAAACTTACTTTTTTCCTCCAATACAAAGTTGCAACATCAGCGGTGTCAGGGAGAACAAGTGATTCTCACAATGACAGCAATTGCTTCCGAAAGAAAAACAACGTAACAACAATACTGGAGTTTGCAGGCCATTGTGAATAACAGTGCAAGAACAAGGGAAAAATACTGCCACAGCAGCTCCCATGGAAAGCTACAGAGTTGCCAGAGAAAGACACTACAGAATTAAAGTGAAGGCCCTTAGCACTGCAAGGATTGCAGCACTTAAGGTACTCTGCAACAAAACTGATGATTATTATGATAGCTTATCAATTAATTTCTCATTTATGTTGGGTGAGAAAATTGGCTCCACAGAAAGGATTCTCCAGAAATGAAAGAAGTATTCTACCTCTCTCATAAATTTGCTGTCCCAATCTGGGCTTAATAAATTCGCCAGTGCGGACTTAGACTGCTAGCCTCAGCAAAATACCAAGAGTGAAAAAGGAAAAGCAGTATGAAATCTAACAGCTTTTTATGAATTCTTTCAACCACAGCAGTCGCTCTGGAACTAGTGACACCAAGTTTAGGACACTGATAAAGCGTTAGTTTTGTTCTCTAGTGGTACTCGAGCTTTTTTCTCACAATTCCAAATACTGATTTTTCTCCTCTGAATTCTCTCCGATTTGGCCCGAGTGAGATTTCGCACTACACAACAAAACTTCCATTGCTTAACAACGCTAGCCAGACTCCCAAGATCACTTTTCAACAACCCATTCCTGCCTTCCTCGTAGTTTCATCCAACAAGATACACTCAAGCAAAAATCCACGGCAGATCTGTCACAAGCAGCTATTTTTCCCCTTTTGCATCACCACAACAGAACAACGACGAGATGTTTTTTCTTCACAAGGGAGAATAACCAGAGTCCCTAATCTCAGATTAAGTCCTCATCTTTTCAGATGACCTCTGAATACCTTCTACACCAGACTCTCAGACGTGAAAATCCTCAGAAGTCCTAGTGAGAAGGAAGGTAGTGATACAGAAGAGAATCTGGTGTCTCCCAAATCTCAGTAACTTCCACACTTCACTTTCACTCTCAAACAAGAAAAATAACGGGACTTTCCGCACTAACCTGACGAAGGTTGATATAAACCGCGTTCTGAAGAAACTCAGAGGCTTCCATGCTCCTTTTCTGTATTGCAAGGACTCTCACTGCCTTCACACAGGCTTCCAGTTCAATCACACCAGCATTCTTGTACTAGAAGAGAGAGTAAATAATACCAAATTTAACAGGTGTGATACTTTAATAAGTATTTCTGCTCAACACATAAATCAGCTGTCACATCTTCCAAGCCCAGCAATTCCTTAATGCTAGTGACTACACTGCTGAATTATCAACACATGCCCAAGTGAAAAACTAAGGTGTCATCTAAAATGTTCTTATGCAAAACAACGATTTTCAGCCTCTTGACTTGCTTTTCTTCTCTTGAGACTCAGCACAGCTTAAGTCTGAGAGCTCAGATGAGTAGAAAAGTTGGGAATATTATTTTGGATAACTTCATATATATGGTGGGTGTGGGTGGTGTCGTCTGTAACAAAGACACTATAATAGGTACGTAAGCAAAAAAGTCAGGTTTACATAGTTCTGCACCAACCAAAACTGTTGATCATGACAAGCGAAGAATCAATTTTGCCTTTTCTACTTATTACAAAATATATTATATAGCACAGGAAACTGTAGCAGCAGAACTTTGATTTCACTGCATCAATCTTCTCTTTAGTTAAAAGAGTATCACTGATGACAAGTGAATTACAAACCATTCTGAGTTTTCTAATATCCATTTACAAAACCTTTTCTGTAAATGACTGTTTTAGTTGCTTTATTCACCTTGCTTAAGAAAGGCCGGAGACTGTAGATGTGCATTGATCTGTTGGAGGCTGGACAACAAACAGGCAATTTTCTAGACAAATCTGATCTAGTTATTTCCTCAAACAATATTGATACTGGGTATTTGAGT